ATTTTATATGATTTTTAATTAAAAATTAATGTAGTTAGGGGCACGATGTCAATTGTTCTTAGAAGATCCAATTAGACGTCCAGTGGCATATGGGACAGCTTACAGTGGTGGACAAGTTCATGGGGTTGTACTGGATGTAAATAATGTGAAAGTGAGTATAAATGAAGTTAGTGATCCAACTGCACATGTACCATTCCCCACCAGTGAGGTTCAGCTTGTAAGTGATGCAATTCAACACTTGATCATTTGGCCAAAGAAACTGGTAGAGTTATATATACTGAAGCTAATGCGGTATGTACACTGATAATATTTCTATTTTAAAATAGTAAGTAGTTTAATTTTTAAAATAATAATTCTTACTTGTATTATAATTCACAGTTAAAAGACAATACCAGTAGTGTTGTTCCAGATTCTTTGACTGATGATTGCAAAAAGGCTTTTACAATAGCTCGCCGTTTCGAACAGAATCTTGTGATCCATGTGGCTCGTGATATTATGGGCAAGATTGAGTATGACTTGGACCTTGAAAGTGTGGAGATAATGCGTTTCTTAAGTATGGACACCATCGATGTTTCTCTAGTTCAGTTCTTTATAAGGTAATAATAAGTTCTTTATGATTATTTATGCATAATAGTTTTATATTTATATAATTGGTAATCTATATATAATTGGTTGTGTTTGTGAATAGGGGTATTTACATTAGTTTTGAGTTGGCATCAAAAGACACGTATAGCTTCCTAGATCCATATTGGATTCAACCAAAAATGAATAATACAGAAGAAAGGAAATCATATATAAATTCCACCATGCAGTATGGGAAGAAAAATGTATATTTAGCCCCATACGTTCTCAAGTAAGTATTACTTACGTTTTAAATAAAAGTGCTTATATATAATATATTTTTATTATATATTATATTTACTTATAACTAATAAATTACTTATTTGTAGTGAGCATTGGATGCTGATGACGATTTGTCCTAGATTAAATGAAAATTTTTGGTTTGACTCACTTGGTCATGGGCCGCTTGAAGACATTAAACCTATAATGGAAACGTATGTAAATTTATATAATGAATTAATAGTTATTATTAAACTAGTGATGCCAAGTATTTACATATATTTTATGTCTTATATGAATAGGTGTATGGCTGCAACAAGCATGATGAATGGAAAGAAACAATATCGTCCACCGAAATGGACTACATGTTTGGTAAGTACTTCATTCACTTTGTAAAACATGCAAACTTATTGTTATTTATTACTTTTTTATAATTTTATTGTAATTCAAATGTAGTGTGCTATACAAAAAGGAACCACCGAATGTGGTTATTATGTGATGAAATTCATGTGGGAAATTTTTTCCAACAACCTAAGCAAAGGATGGATAAGACAAGTAATTTAATAATACATATTTCTTCTTCAAATGTTGGTTAAAATATTTGCTTATTTATTATTTTTATTTCTTTTGAACTTTGTAGATTTTAGAAAGACAATGAAGATTGCCCTACAACAAACAAGAGATTTATGACGTTAGAAACAAATGGTCTAAGTTTCTTATTGATGAATGGGTTAATAAAACGTTGTTCAATTGATACTTTATGTTTAAAATTACTTTGTGTTTATTGGTTTGATGTTAATTAGTAGTTTTGTTGCATTGTGTTATTTATATTAACTAGTAATTCACCCGCGCGATGCACGGGAAAAAATTATGTTATTATAAATATAAATAAAAAATAGAAAAACTAAAATATTTTAAATTATTTAATATAATAATATTTTTGAGCTTCCATTGGTCAAGTATTTATTATTTTTATAGAATACAAAATTACAATTAAAATTATAATTATAATTTTGTATGGTTAATATAATCTCTAATTATGTGCATATTCAAATAAATTTATAGAGAGAATTTACATAATTACATTGATTTATTCTTAATTGTATTTCATCTATATTATAATTTTCACAATACGAATAATAACTAAGATAATTACATTTGGAAAGTAAATTTCAAAATTTGTAGGTGTAAATTTAAACTCTAATTGAACACATTTTTTATATGATTATATAATATATAACTATTTTATTTTTCAAAAGTATATTTTTTATATGATTATATAATATATAGCTATTTTATTTATTAAATGTTGTATTTTTTTATTATAATAAAGGATGTTGTTGCATTAATTGTAACATTAAATATTTCCCAAACCATATAGCTTTATTATATAAAGGATTTTATTTTTAGTAGCTTAATTAGTTTCATGTTTAGTATGTAGCTTGAATTAGTTGATGTTGATGTTGAATGTAATTAGCTGCACAGGTTCTGATTGATACAGCAGGTTGGGCTAGAAAGCATAAAATATTTTTAATATAAAAAATATATATATATACATACGACGTCGGCTAATAGCCAATTAGCCGACGTCGTATAATTTATATATATATATATATATATATATATATATATATATATATATATATATATATATATATATATATATACACATACGACGTCGGCTAATACCCTACTAGCCGACGACGTATAATTTTAAAAAATATATATATATACATACGACGTCGGCTAATAGCCTATTAGCCGACGCCGTAGGATTTATATTATTTAAAAATAAATATACGACGTCGGCTAATAGGCTATTAGCCGACGTCGTATATTTATTTCTTAATTTTAAAATACATACGACGTTGGTTAAATAATCGACGTCCTTTATTTTCTTATAACGTCTCTTTAGTCGACGTCGTAGGTTAGCCGACGTTAAAAGGGGGTCATTTAGCCGAAGTTAAAGCTATTTTCTGTAGTAGTGTTTCAATCTGTGCTATCGATTGGGAAGTAGACAGATTATACATGCAGAACTAACCGAGAAGATACCCGTAGGAGTTTGGTTCCACATAATCCCTTAGATTAGGATCACCGGATAACAGGACACCTTAGCTTTCAATACAAAAATCTCATTCTTGAGATTGCTATTAGGACACTATTAGTACATGGTTTTAAAATACTCATTATTCTTTACAAGGTATTATCTGTACTATGTTTTGTCAAACATTCAAATCTATGACCACCTATTTGAAGAGGATAACCGAGATACCATCACACTACAGTCAGTGGCGGAGCCACAATCCCACTGCCCCCCCCCCCCCCCCTCTCATCCCTTTCTAATCCTTTAATATATATATATATATATATATATATATATATATATATATATATATATATATATATATATACAAGTTACTAAGGGATTCAGTGGCTTAGTTGGTTCAACCTTGAATATGGCATGAAATGGCATGTGTTCAAAACCCACTTTGCATATTTTAACTTCTTATCTTTATTTTAGCTCTTCACACCCTTCAATAAATTAAATGTATTTTTTAATTAAATATTTTTTAAGTCTATTTTTTTTGTTAATCATTTAATTAATGTAGTCAACAAGTTTATATTATACTTCTTCGTATTCAAATTAATTTAGAAAAATTTTAAGTTGATTTAATTAAAAGAAAATTAAAATTAAATTATTTATGAATATAATGTCTTTTCTATTCAAACTATTGTATCTAATAGATTATGTTTTATATTTTGTCATAAATATTTTTATAACATTTCAAAATGTTTTAAAATTTCACCCTACCCAAATATAATTTTGGCTCGCCCTTAACTATCTTGTAGTCTATCATAAATATTGTATTATAATTTATAATGTATTTAAACCATATTATATATGTTTGATATTTTGTCGTTTACAATTCTAAAGTCATTTTAAATACGCCCTACTCACATAATTTTCTGGAACGGTCACTAACTACAATTGGTTTGGTAAGTAGAAAAAAAATAAAATTAGCAAAAATTAAGAGGATTTAATTTGAAAGGGTCAAAGTGGTTATAACCCGGCCGGCCATAACCCAATTTTCCTTGTATAAGATGCCCTAAATCTTTTCTCCAGCTACATAGGATTCTACGAAGGAGAAGAATATTCTATTCTTGGTTGTAGCCAAAATAAATAAATAAATAAATAAATAAAAGAAGCTTAGAAAGAAAAATATTTTCTTCTACCTTGGTGTTGCCGTGGATTGTAACAGGAAAGCATTATGACAAAAGCTAGATTTCTTGTTTTCTTTGTTTGAGGATTTGCGTGCCACAAGGAAAATTCAGAAATTCCATCGTAGCTAGCTAGTGCACTAAATTGTATCATTCTGATCTGATCGATAGTCACTGCTTGCATGAACTTATTGATGGAAGTCCTCCCACTTAACATTAAACAATTTCGTCTCATGTGCAAAATAGATCGGGATTATTTGACAACTTTATTGCCTAAAATTTTTCTTTTCAATTGTGTCACATTGTCCCTATTTCTCCTACATGATCATGTTAAAATTATATATATATATATATATATATATATATATATATATATATATTTTTTTTTTTATTTTACAAATGAAATATTGAAACTAAACAATTAAGATTATAATTAAAGAAGAAACATTAAAAAGTATTAAAATACTTATGTATGTATTATGTATAATTTTAATAGAATTTAATTGTTTTGTTGATTTACGGGCTCAATTCAAACTACAACTTCTTTAAAGAGTTAAGGGTGTATATTGCAACAACAAAAAGTTAGGGACTAAAACCACCGCTACCGAAGAAAAATTAAGGGGCCAAAATTACATTTTTCCCTTAATTAAAATAATTGGACATAATTGTTATTGGATACGAGTATTTGATACTGACTATTAAATTATCAAAACTTAAATTTTTTGATATAATTGTGAAGTTTGGATTCTTTTCACAATAAGGCTTAAAAAACAAAAGAAAAAACACTAACCAACTACCCAGCTAATTTTAAAATCATGGTTGTTTTACTTGTTTAGAGTTTAGCATTGACGAGAATTGCTATCTAAATTGTATCACATACATCTATCTTTCATTTCTTCTTAGTACTGCTCTGAATCATCTTACCACATTGACAGACGCAAATGGCTTATGCTGCTGTAACTTCGCTTAAAGGAACACTCCATCTACACTTCTTGCAATCACAACCACGCCTGTCTCTTATTTATAAACAAAAGGTGGTCTCTCTCCATAGAAATCTTGGTTTCCTTCAAGAAAGTCTTCAGAAATCTGAGATTGCCTATGATGATGCGGGGGCGATGAAAGATCTAGAGGCAGAGATCAGAGATGCAGTGTTCGAAGCTGAAGAAAGGATTGAAATGGAGCTGACTACCATTTATCCAGCAAAGGGTTTGACGAAGCATCTTGCTTGCCTCCTCAGGCTTCATGGGATCTTCAATGAAGCAGTTAAAAAGACTGATTACCTCAAGAAGAAGTTGATTAAGATTAAAACTGAAAAGCAGCTTGCAAAGGGTCCATCACAAGGTCAAAGGATGCGACAAAGTGGACTACTCCATGGTTCAACATCATCACAACCTGATTTAGAACGCGAGAATAATACTACTGTGAGTAAATTTTCTAAAAACGCTCCAATGAAGTATGACAGTGGAATGTTCGGATGCAATGAGGAGTTCAAGACGATAATGGATCAGCTCACCCGACAATCAGCAAAGCAGCTACAAGTTGTATCAATTGTAGGCATGGGCGGAATAGGCAAGACCACTTTAGCTTGCAAAGTCTATGAAGATCCATCAATTACTTATCATTTTTACATCCGAGCATGGGTTGCTGTATCTCAAGAGTATAACGTGGAACAAATGCTCCAATGCCTTATTGGTTGTGTTAATGCAACATCAAATGGTAACTTGGTAGAAAGTCTGCGTAAACACTTGAAAGATCAAAGATATTTGATAGTGATTGATGATATATGGAGCACCACTGCTTGGGATAGTGTGCAAAGATGCTTTCCAGATGATAATAATGGAAGTCGTATCCTATTGACTTCTCGACTTAGGGAGGTGGCTGAATATGCAAATTCAGGTAATAACTCTACCATTAACATGCCTTTCTTAGATGCCAATGAAAGTTGGAATCTCTACTGCAATGTGTTTGGTCAAACGGAATTTCTTTCAGTGTTTGAACAAATTGGTAGAACCACAGTGAAGAAATGTAATGGATTACCTCTAGCTATTATTGTAATAGCTAGTCTTCTCTCCAAGACAGAGGCGGCAGTGGAGAAGTGGAATAATGTTGTCAAAAATGTGCATAGATATGTAATTGATGATTCTAATGATGCATGTTCCAGAATACTATATTTGAGTTACAACCAATTACCACACCACTTAAAAGCTTGTTTTCTATATTTTGGAGTTTTTCCTGAAGACTATGAGATCCGCGTGAAGAAGTTGGTTAGGTTGTGGGCGGCAGAGGGATTTTTGAGGGCAGAGGACCATCGGAATATGGAGGAAGTGGCCATGGAATGCTTGCAAGATCTTGTTGATAGAAGTCTTGTTTTTGTTAGCAAACAGAGCTACAATGGGAAAATGAAGACAATAAGGATACATGACCTGTTGCGGGATTTGTGTTTAAGAGAAGCTCATCATGAAAATCTCTTGAATGTCATTGGAGATGAAAAACTTCCATTTTACAAGAAGTCTTGTCGTTGGATAAGTGCTACGTCAAAGTTGCATCTACTTCCTTCCAGAATGTGCTTTCACAAATCACATTCCTTTCACTACCCTTACTCTTATTACTCTGAACGTATGGAACATCTAATTTCACACTTCAAACTACACTTCAAACTACTAAGAGTAGTAGATATAGAATTGATGCCTTCATATGAACATAGGGTAATAAATAAACAACAGATGTCATCATTTGGATATGGGGTACTAAATGCGACCGCAAATCTTATTCATTTGAGATACTTAGCTTTGAGGAATTTAGTACTTAATAACAACAGATATTTTGATTTAGAGCTCTTTGAGTATTGGAATATACAAAGCTTTATTGTTTGTGGAGATCATATTACATTGGATTGTGCTAAGGCATCTGGAATTGGTAAAATGCCACTATTAAGGAATATTTGCATTAATCGGATTGTTTCATAAGGAACTTTGTCAGTTGTTCATGGAAATTTAGAGAGTATATATTGGTTGGATCCTAAGCTCTGTACACAGTATTTGTTTACAAGGATTCCAAATTTAAAAAAATTGGGGATTGATGGATATGATGGTGAAAGCAATGGAAAGAATCTAGATTGTTTTTACAATTTTGTGCATTTGGGGCAGCTTGAGAAGTTAAGCATCAAAAACTGGTATGATCTCAACTGTATTCCATGTAGCGGCATCTCATGGGCAACTGATTTTCTACCAAATCTTAAGAAGCTCAAATTCGTCTGGACTAATTTGGCATGGAGTGATATGAGGCTTATTGGTATGTTGCCGAATTTAGAGGTTCTAAAACTGAAACATGCTGTTGCTAGCGAAGACATAATGTGGGAACCATCCAAGGAAGGGTTCCGTCGATTGAAAAAATTGGTAATTGAAGATAGATATTTGAAATGTTGGAATGCTATGGGTGACAATTTCCCTGTGCTAGAATGTCTAGAGTTACATAATTGCTATTCTTTGCATGAGATTCCTAGTGGTTTTGCGGATATCACCACACTAGCATTGATTCAGTTAACCTGGTGTTTGGATTCCGGTTTGGCTTCCGCAAAGTTCATTCAAGAAGAGCAATACAACAACTATGGAAATGCCCTCCTTGTTCGTTCGAAAAACATTATGGTCTCTTTCTATCCCTCAGCTCTAATATATTATATGTGTGACCATTTAACATATATACACTTACTTCATGCATGCTACTTAATTAATTCTTCATGGCCATCATATCATATCTGATCTGATCTGTTTCCTCTCACTTCTATCTCATATTTTCTTACCTATCTAACTGCTGTGTTCACCTTTTTTTCATATTTAATTACTTAATTTATCAATTGCAGGGATCGGATGAGGAGGAAGAGAGTGATGAATGAATGAGTTCATAATGGTTTTTGCATTTAATTTGTTTATTGTGGATGCGTTGGTGGATTAGGCAGGTAGGTATTTGAATTTGCAGAATACTGTGTTGCAAAGCATACTATTCTATATATATTTTGGTAAACTGCAATGGTTTCTGCTTCTCAGAAGTTGTTAACTTTCCTGGAGTATTTATAATTTTGCCATAGTTGGTGAATAAGTCATTGGTGGTTAATATGCAGCAGATACCACTTTGGGGCAATCGTTATGCGTTGGACCGTGTCCAGCATGCTTGCTGGACACGAGTAACAGTGCCGTTAGGCACTGTTATCTCCTTTTTTTTTTTTTTTTTTTTTTTTTTTTTTTTTTTTTTTAATTTCAGACGCTTCGTTATAGGAGTATATATTCATAATTTTATTACTATATTATTAATAATTGTACATTCATAACTCCATAACTGTACGTTCATAACTCTATAACTGTACATTCATAACTCCATAACTGTACATTCATAACTCTATAATTGTACATTCATAATTTTCGAAGCTCTATGTTCACAATTTTAGAGCTCTATGTTCATAATTTTATCACTATATGTTCATAATTGTAAGTTCATAATGTTAGAGCTCTTTGTTCATAATTCGATCAATAACTGTACATTCATAATTCCGTAACTGTAGATTCATAATCTCATAACTGTAGATTCATAACTCCATAACTGTACATTCATAATTCCATAACTGTACATTCATAATCTTCGAAGCTCTATATTCACAATTTTAAAGCTCCATGGTCATAATTTTATTACTATATATGTTCATAATTGTAAGTTCATAATGTTAGAGCTCTGTGTTCATAATTTCATAATTGCATAACTGTACATTCGTAACGGCATAACTGTACATTCATAATCCAAAAAAAAATAAAATAACGCCGTTAACGGCAAAACGCGCGCGAAGTTTTTTTTTTATAACTAAATGACGCGTTTTTTTTTAAAAACGACGTCGTTTTGGGCTCGTGTCCACAATTCACTGTGGACACGGGTCCAGGGCATAATTTGCCACTTTGGGGTGTTTTTGTATAAATCCTTATGGGAGGATTTATACGTTCTTTATACGTTCCACCCGTCGCTACTGATAATTCGATCTTTATGATTTTGTTTTGTTGGTAGCAGCAGTTTATGAACCATTTCCATGTAACAGAGTGGGTGAAGAGAGAGCAAATGTTTTCCTTACAAGAGAGAAGAAATGGAGGAAGTCGCTTTGGGCAAAAATGGTGCGCGCAAAGTGGCGGAGGCAGTGGCCATTCGGGAGGTGCTCAGACCAGGTATCAACAGAAGCTTCAAGTGGAAACAAAGGCACTGTCGCTGGTTCAAGCTGAGGCCTATCAAATGACAATGACTAGTCCTCATTTTATCTTTGTCTTAATTAGCTGACATAAAATTACTGTTAAATTATTTTTTACACACTTTTGTATCTTTTTCTAAACGATCAGCGAATCGTACTGTTCACGTGTTGGCTCAGAGTCAACTTTTCAATCTCATCATCATAAAGAATGATTGTCATTCTCTCGGTATAGCATAAAAGCACACTCTGGCATAACATAGCTGGAGGATCTGTTATAGTTTTTGTAGTTGTTGTGGGTTCGTTGCTGTAATGAATTTGGGTGAATACGTAGTGTGTTGCATCATAAAGTATTGTATAGTAGTTGTTGTGCTTCAATATAATTGTGGTATAAAGTTGGTGTCATTTCTTCATCTCATCTCAACTCATTTTTCCATCTAAAAGCAGAGAGTGGATTAATTAATTAGTAGATAGGAGTTTTGTATGTTGAAGTACGTACTCCACTTGGGCTGAATGCCTTAATCACATCACCGATAGATGAAAATTTAAATGTGTTTAGTTTGTACATGTGAATCCGAATTAGAATGGAAATTAAATATTTGATAATATTTAGTAGTAGAGTAAAATTTGAATGACCATCAATATTCATATTTGGTTATGTATAACCATATAATGTGAATAAAAGTTTTAAAAATTTAAAAATAAAAAATAAAAAATTTAGACCCATACAATCTATTATTTTATACCATTTAACAAGGCAAATTATATCGTGCACCAGGGCGCACAATGCATTATACGTCCTCGCCAAAACGACGTCGTTTTGACTATTTATTTATTTATTTTTTTTGAAATTCTATTTCCCGTTTCTCCCGTTAAATTCAAAATAAATAAATAAATAAATAAATAGACTAACAAAAAAAAAAACTTTGTTTCGAATGTACTTAAACACATAACAGAATACGCATAAACTCATAACAGAATACACATAATCTAACATAATACATAATACACATAAACTCATAACAGAATACACATAATCTAACATAATACATAATACACATAAACGTATAACATAATACACATAAACTCATAACAAAATACACATAATCTTACATAATACATAATACGCATAAACTTATAATAGAATACACATAATCTAACATAATAAATAATACACATAAACTCATAGCAGAATACATATAAACTCTTAACATAATACACATAAAATCTGAACAATAAAAACGACGTCGTTTTGGTCCTGGTGCACGATATAACGATTGATTTAACAACCCAGACTATTATATTTTGGATACTTTTGGATCTTCCGATGAATTTTTCTAATGAAATCTTATTTTAGGCAAGATAATTTTCGTCTCTTTAATTTTTTTTTTAGTTTTTTTTTTTCCTTCCAATTTTCGTTTCCTCAGTTGTCTATTGCACCATTTCCTTCACTAGGCTCTTGGCTTCATCTCTTTCCCCCTTCGTCAATGGTGATACCGAATACGTGAGGACCTCCGAGTGCGAGGGAAAATCATTTTGCAACACAGTTGAAAAGCTCAGTATGCTGCCACCCGGTTAGCTTTGGTCTAACCGCTATTGTTTTAGTCTATGATTATATGAATCATCTACAATAGCGGTAGAAAAAAAAAAAAAAAAAAAAAAAAAAAAAAAACCTCTTCTTTGTCATCGAAAAATACCCTTTTCTAAAATTGGGTTTCATCAAAAGGACTAAAATTGTCCAAAATATAATAGTCTGAGTGTTAAATGAAAAAAATAATTGTTCGGGACTAAATTTGATTCGGCAAGTTCTCAGAAGTTCAAGGAAGATGTTGAAACATTGCAGATTATGTACGAAAGAACTAATAAAAACTCTACTTTCATCGGTTCAAATGCATTCAGTCAACCAGAACAAAATCATTGTACAAATACACTTTAATATTTATTTATTTATTTATTTATTACCATTTGGAACCGTCCAGTTCCTAATATTATGGAACCAGAACCGTCTGATTCCTAATATTATGGAACCGGATCTGGAACCTTTTGTGTTCCAATTCAATTCCTACAATACACGGTTCGATTCGAATCAAATTGCGGTCGTCCGTACTTCCAACAAGTGAAAGATTTCAAGCGATGGATCCTTTTTAATTTTTTTTTTTTTAAACATGTCATCTTAAGAGGAGAAAAATTGCAGGGATAAATTTAGCCCTAGTTTCTTTTAAAATTCGTACATCATTAAAAAAAAAAAAACACAAAAAATTGCGGAGTAGAAAATTATATTAGATTGTGTACATACCCCGGATACCCGCAACTGTTTCTTTGCGATAGTGAAAGGGACGTAAGCTGAAATCGATGGGGCTATTGACTAGAATGGGCAAATTAAAAAGTAGGGGAGTAGACAAAAATGGACATTTTTTAAATCTTGGACACAGGAAAAACTTCTTTGGCAATTGCGTTTGTGTGGTAAAAACGCAAGTCCAAAAGTAGTTTCTTAAATTTATGAGTACATAAGAAACACGAGTTGCACTTGCGTTGTCATATGATATAGAGTGAATACTTAAAATGGTCCCTCGACTATATCTAAATTCACAAATTGGTCCTCGACTTTCAATTTCAACCAATTAAGTTCTTAATTTTGTAATTTTGACACGATTTGGTCCTCCATCTATTTGACCGTTTGTTGACCGTGATCGATGATCATTAGAAGAACCTTCAGTTCTCGTCGGAGCACGTGGAGACCTCCAGGATGACCTTGCACTGGTCCGGAAACACGTCGTCTTCTTCGCTCTGGTACGAACTCAACTACATTGAATCCAAAGGGAGGATGAAGAAAGACAACCGGATTTGGTAGATTGCTTTCGGTAGTGGATTCAAATGTAACAGTGCGGTCTGGAAATGCAACCAGAACCTTAAAAAACCGACGATGGACCATGAAATTACATATATATATCCTCAAAAATCACAGTCAACAAACGGTCAAATAGATAGAGGACCAAATTGTGTTAAAATTACAAAGTTAAGGACTTAATTGGTTGAAATTGAAAGTTGAGGATCAATTTGTGAATTTAGCTATAGTCGAGGGACCATTTTGGGTATTTACTCTATGATATATGGCAAACGCAAGTCACATTTGCGTTTGTCAAGAAAAAAAGTGGGCTATTGCGACCAAGTAATGTGTGTTGAAATTTTTAGCATAAAATAACAATTTAAGTGGTTATTTTTTGGTACAAATATATATGAGATTCACTTTCGATTTGGGTCGGGTGAAAGTAGATTTAGGTTCTTCACAATAAGACGAAAAGATTGATATATTGTATGCTCAAAACGGGTAATAGGTGAATGAGAAATTAATTCTCAAAATAGACACATTTGAGTTGGAAAATGAAGGTGGAGAGACTTTGTAAAAGCACTTGACCCACATTGGTTTGGAAATTGGGTTTGCACCACTATATATACAAGAGAGGCATGTTGAATTGTATAGCATAGAAGCTTTTCTGAAGCGCAGGGGTGCAGCTGTGCAGGGGAGCAAATCAAATCCCAAAAATGAGCCCGAGCTTGAAAAGGCTTGCACAAATGCCGTTTGTGGTCTATGTTATCCCAAATTTCGGACATGACTGTTTGGTTTGACCGAACAGTCTAATCTCGTATGTAACCTTCGAACTACTCGAGCCACT